TCGCGGGTTCTCAGCGTTCGCACCCAGGGCGCTATTCCACGCGTCAGCAGCGATCTCACTCGTCGCCAGTGAAAGTGCGACCCTTTTCGGCCCTTGAAGCTGACGTCTTCTGGCAAGAACCTGGCAGCGGTGTTGAGCTTCGAGAGATTGGGCGCGACGACCCAGCGCACCGAGCTCTCGCACAACTTTCAAGTACCGCCAGACCAACTGGTTCGCACCTGGATCCCGAATCTGTGCCGCCTAGTTGGGCCACTGCACTCGACGACGGCCCATCAAGCGACCCCAAGCGGATCGTTGCGCTATTTGGCCGCCCAGACGGGTCTCCGCGTTATCTTCTGGGTACGACCCGGCCTGCAGTAGATTCATATCCGCTAGACCGCACAGATCATCAAGACGACCACCTGCAAGGCGCTTCCGTTCCAGCCCCTCGGTCGTCACCAAGCACTTCGCGTCTGCATTTGTACTCCAACAGGCGACCGGCCTCCGTTTCCCACCTGGGTCGCAACGGGCTTTCGCCCTCCACGCCGCCGCGTCCTAGCCGACTTCGTCATCGTCGCACATTTTCAGATCCCTCTCCATCACCATCTCCGCCTCGACGAGGCTCTCGAAGCGATTTGGTACCCGTTGGTCACGCGTTAGCAACCCATCAGAGGCTGTCTGGTCCTGAGAACTTACCGGACCCAGCTTCAACACAAGCGCGGCCTCAGTCCCACCCACCTGCTCACCTGAACAGGAACACCCATCGCAAGCGGGATTCGGGCTCAAGCTCGCTGCTGCAAGGCCGCCTCTTCAGCCTCTTTTTACCATCACGCTCGGAAAGCAGGAGCACGCGGGCAGGCACGCCCCCCACCTCCCCGTCACAGCGGGACAGCATTGGCATGGCGGTCGCTGCTATGGCTCCAAGCCAGATGCAAGCTTCTTCTGGCAATGACGCCTCGCGCCCATCACGCAGCGTCTCTCTTAGCGGACCAAGCAAGGGCGCTGGTCTCTCGACTCGCCCACGAGGTGGCTCCAACGCTTCCAGAAGTGGCCCGCCTCGGCTGCTGAGCTCTCCGTCCGGCTCCACGTTAGCCACAGGCTCTGGGCAGCCCAGCTCACAACATCCGTTGCTGCGGGCACCGAGCCGCTCCTCAATCGTAGATCATACGCACGCTACGAATGCCAGTCTGACCCTGCACATGCCCGAGCGCGATATCACGGCTGCGCCACCACCCGTAATCGAGGAGGAAACCTTTTCCCCTGCAGGTTCGCGAATCAACGGGCGATCAATGCAGCAGAGATCAGTGGTGCGTGGGGAAGGCAAGCGAGCGGAAAGCGAAGGTGCCAGCTTGGGCAAGAGAGACAAGGCTGCAGTAAGGGAGGAGCTAAGGAGCATGTAAGTTTGTGAATTTGTAATTGCACCACAAAACAGCTGGTGTGCTCAGACATTTCCACTCTTTTCGTCGCGCAAAAGCTCCTCTCGCAAATCGCCACGCGCAGAAGCAGCTGCATCACCTCGCAGCACGTCTGGATTCTTGTCCATGAAGCGTATGTTTGGACGAAGCAAGTCCACCTCTGTCAGCAATGGAACTCGGACGGACCCTTCGCGGGGCTCTGCCACTGCACAGTCGCGTCCCGAGGGATTGCCAGAGGAGTCAAGCGAGTTTGGCGGTCTGAGCGATGATCACAAGTCCAAGGGGAACAGTGGCTCGACACGAACTTCGCGTGACTCTTCCAGAAGCCTAAACAGCAGAGGCCTCTTTTCCTCTTTTCGCTCTCGCGACTCTCCCCGTCGCAATAAGATGGAGCTGAGTGCCGCCGAGAATAATGGGCAGAGATCGACACGAGTGGGGTCCGAAGCTGCTCCGGCTGCCGCTTACGCTGCTCGTGCCACCCTGAGCCCGGCCATGGAAGCGCCGCTCCGAAACGGCGGACGTAGAAGTTTAGACTCGGTGACCAGTAGTCACGTTGGCCAGGCGGATAAGGAAGGCTTTGCGCGGTCGACGACACCGACATTCGCAAACACTGGCGTTCACGCTGCTGGACCCAGCAGATCCCTCACATTGCAAGCGCTGTCGAGCGCTTCGACCTCGCCGTATGGTTCGCTGACCTCCGAACAGGCTAAATATCCCAACCGAGCTCAGACCTCCTTCTCCGATGCGCTGCTTTCGAGACAGAGCACGCCTGTTGGGGTCATGCAGCGCGATGCAAGCGCATACAGCGCCTCTACCGATGAAGGAATGGGCATCGCACTTACTGCAGGCTCCTCAACAGATCTTCTCACAAATTCTCACGACGCTCAAGCGTCTCGAGATCCAAGGCCAGCTGTGCCGAAGATGTGGCAGCTTTCTCGGACGTCGCGGAACTTGGGAGACATGGAGGACTCTGAGGAACAGCCAGAAGAGACTCGCACTGCTGCGTTGGCCTTCTCCGACTCGCACGGCGAAGGGTCGCGCATAGATGCGCATTCCCGCTTCACAACCATGACGTCCATCGCTTCTTACCGCACTGCGACGTCAGGGTACGCAGATCCTCGAAGAGGAGATCTGTCTACGATTGCAGACACTTCACGCGGAGACTCTACGGGCAGCCGTGGCGTTGCTTCAAACACCGCACCCAGCACGCAAGATTCGGCTGCTATATCTGATCTCATTACGAATTTGCAGCGAGGAGAGCGCTCACCGAACATCGCTTTGTTCTCATCCAGCGCTGAGCGCGGTCACGCGGCGCCAGCAATTGCCGCAGGACCCTCGCCCACTCCACAGCTCACCCCTGCGAGCTCAGAGCGGGAGGAAACCATGCGCCGCATTTCAGATGAAACATCCTTTGACAGCCCTTCAGTAGACTCGGCGCATCGACGAAGGAACACTTTCGGTGGCGGGCCCGAGGCGGCTGCCACAGGACCGCGAACAGAACGCTCGGCGCGCGACTCTTCTCAGAGAGATCGTGTGCGTGACTTCGAGAACAATAGAGAATCGATCGGCGAGGCTCGCGCGATCTCACCTAATCTGGAGGCTTCTCTATCTCGCCGCGACTTGTCAGTTCAAGAAATTGAGAGCGACCTCGCAGCAGTGGAGAGAGCTTTGCAGGATCACAGCATCGCAGGAAGTTTTGACCCCTCCTCTCTGCGGCGCAGGATTGGCCCGCCAAATCACACGGAGACATCGGTGTCTTTGCGGTCGCTAATAAGAGAAGGTGCGCCCGAAGATGCGAGCGACGCGTCGTTCGCGGGTCGCGTAACCCTACCTCCGGGCTCGGAACTGGCAATCGCAAACGCCGTGCGCGACGTGAGACGAGCCATCAGCTCATCACATCTTCCAAGAATACCCAGCGAGTCGGATGTTGGACCGGCGGGGGCCACCGACTTGCCTTCAAGCCGGAGCGGCCCCTTGTCCCCAGTCACACAACGCTCGCAGCACGAGTCCACGCCCACGAGAAATGCTCGAGTACGTCAAGAATCGATGCAAGATGTGGAAGCTGCATACACGCGGATGTGCGAGCTCGTGGCATCAGCGGCTGGCA